TTATTTCTCTCCTCTGCCTGTCACTTCACTACATATCCTCATCTAAAACTCAATCTCTCCTTTAAGCTCTATTCATTTCAATTTTTTGCCTTTTGGAGTTTGGTGGAAGTGCTGGACATGAATGTCGAGCAGCGAAAAACAAGAGCAAAGAACCTCAAGGATCATCAAATCGCTTAAATCTTATTTACAAATCGATCTTATATTACTATGTATACTTATGTCTTGATTTACATGAAGTATTCATATGCTTATTTTCTCGTTATGCATGAGAGTTCTCATGGCCTTGTATGGTCATGTATTAAATATAAGAAATCTGGAAATTAGAAATTTATAATCTAATCTAATGTTATAATACAAGTGTGTGATTGTCTAAATTTATATCAGTTAATATTTGTACCCTGTTCTAATATTGTATTATTTGTTAAACTGTAAGAGAAAATTTCTCAATATTAGCCTAGTCAATTTTGATGTTTAGAATCATTATCAAATTCTACTAGTCTGTTGTAGAATTTGAACTATCAAAAATAACAGAACATTAATGATATAGTGTACTTTCATTTATAAATTTATAAAATTAAGTGAATAAAATTAAAAAATATATTTTTCCTAATTACATAATCTACTGTAGAAATTAGTATATATTTAATACTCTTTGGCAATTCATAAATAATAATAATGATAAACTTTAAAAAATTTTAACTTTGTTAAATGGTTAAAATAAGTTGAAAAACACAATAATTCATGCCTACAGTTTAAAATTTTATTTTATGGTTAGTATTAAAAAAAAACAAAGGTAGCTAATATTATTTAGTTAAAGTTTTACAGTATAGAAAGCGAAAAAACAAACAGTTTTATATCAGCTAATTATGGGTTTAAAATATATTTTTATTACTTATTAGTTTTTTTTTATTCAAAAAAAAAACATGAGATTCCCACTATTATTCAGCTAGATAAACAACCAGTTCCCATGTATTACTAGTTGTAATATCAGAAAAGCGACAATAAGAGGGGAATTTGGAAATCTTTATTTGTAAGAAATTTAGATTTGTTTGTAAATTTAGGAATTTTTTGTGTATCTGCTGATCAACAGTAATTTGAATGCACGATAAGTGCTTTACATAAATCGGTTTAATTTAATTGTATTGATTTCTTGTTACTGTGAATTTCGCAGACCTACTGTTTTTCATTAGTAAAAAGAAAGAGATAAGTGTTACGAGAAAAGTATTAATTAGTAGTCAGACCCCGATCACTTATCGTAATTATAAAGATGATAAATTAATCAAACTTGCGATTAACCAGTTTCTTATGTGGATTTTAGAGTTTGAATTTTCCTGATCGTTTATGTTATGAAATCTGACTCGTAGTTCAGGAAATCAGCGCCACACATAGAAATTAAAACTCAAGCGCAACTACATAGTAAAGAAATAAGTTATATATTGGCATTAGCAAATAGAACCAAGAAGAGAAATAAAAAAAAATACCAAGTCAAAGTACTAA